CTATTATCCGATGCAATTCAATGATGCAAATAATTTTTTTCAACGATTTGTTATTGTAGACGTGTGCTAGTCGATTCTGGAGAAGCAAAGACAGCCAATGATTATATAAAACTCCTGGACAGTGTATTAAACGAAGAGAATGCGACTATTGAACATTTGGTGGTCACACATTGGCATCACGATCACATTGGAGGAGTGGAGCCCGTGCGAAACTTACTAAAAAAATTATTTCCCATGGAAAAGCAGCCAATCGTGTGGAAATTGCCACGATCGCCGAATGATACAAACAGCTCGAATGATGAGAAATCAATTCAATGGAAACCTCTGAAGAACGATCAAGTTGTGGAGGTCGAAGGAGCAAAGCTTCAAGTAAAATACATGCCAGGACATACCAGCGATCATGCATGTTTGCTGCTGCAGGATGAGAATATTTTGTTCAGTGGGGATTGCATCCTTGGGGAAAGCACAACAGTCTTCGAAGATCTCCACGATTACATGTTGTCGCTAAATAAAATCCTGGAGTTGCAACCCAAGATAATTTATCCGGGTCATGGGCCAGTTCTTAATGATCCTCTGCCACATATACAGTATTACATTAAGCACAGGCAGCAGAGAGAGAAGGACATTTTACAGATGTTGCAACAACAGGGAAATGATAAATCGATGACAGAAATGGATATTGTTAAGCTGATATATAAGGTAAATGATACTATAAATTAATTACTTGTGCATGTAATTAATTTGTTTTTCTAAAGAAATTAATTGAAATTAAAAAATATTTGCACAGGATACTCCAGAAAAATTGTGGCTAGCTGCAGCATTTACTGTGGGACATCATCTTCGTAAGTTAGAGAAAGAGGGGAAAGTGTTGCAAGAAGAAGATGGCTGGCGGAGAATTAGGGGCAAAATGTAGATAGATGTACCATATGAAGAATTTTTGTATAACAAATACTTTTTTCTCTTTCACAGATTCGAAAATCTTTTTCCAGGATTAAAGTATACGCGCTAATATGTATTTGTGAAATGGAATTTTTGGTCGAGAACGATCAAAAATTTCGAAATTGATATATTTTTACCATTTCTTAATGTAACATAACGTTTCAAGCTGTCAACTCGTGACAATATTTGCTTGATACGAAAGTTTTATAACCTATACTTATGAAATATTAAGCCGAGGAAGAAGTTTCTTCATATTTGAAAAAAATTTTTTGCAAAATTTTTTCCATTTGTTGCGAAATTTTCATTACAATTATATCATTCGCTAGAACAAAGTTTCAGTTTTAAGAATCTGTTTTTTAAGTTGCAGTATAATGATTTTTATCGGAATTATGAACAATCGAAGTCAGAATGCTCCTTAATTCGCGAATAATTCGAGAACAAAAAATCATAAGAACATTTAAAAAAATGATTTTGTAGAGAAAGCTTCAAGCTTTCACGATGGGTAGTCGAAAATTTTCGTGAATTTTTTTGGGCATATAACAGATCCCCAAAATGAAAAGAAAATTTTTCATTTTTTTCAGTTTGTAGTTTTTTAAATATAAAAGTTACCAAACTCATAAAAACTAAAAAAATATAGTAATCTTTTGAAAGTAGATATTTCAAACTTTAAAATCTTTTTTTTAAATTTAAATTTCATTCATTTTTGTATATACAATTTTGAATTAAAAAATACGAAATTTTTTCCCCAAATAGTAATCTACAAACACATAAACGTATAAAAGTTCGCATAAACAAATAATGTCAAGTTGTTAGAAATAGATTTAAATTTTTATTTTATCGTGACGAATTTGTTATACGAAAATTGAACGTACAACTGCATGTATCACAGGTGCGTAAGATATTATATATGAAGACAGATTGATGCGCTTAAAGTTCTAGATAACAAAGTAGCGTATAGGTCCTCCACTTTTTAGATTTGCTAATCACACTCTATATCAATAAGTGCTTATTGGACTACAACAAAGTGAAATGGTGATCAAAATAATCGATAAGAGGGTTGTCAGCATTTCGGCTTAGATAAAAGGAATGCGCTACTTTGATACATAGAGCTTTCGATACGTTTGAAAAACAGCACCTCTAGTGATATCGTCCGAATTCGAGTTTCGCTTAAGGAGCCGAAATAAAATTTTAATTGAAAACTTATTATATAAAATGTTAATTCTGAAAAGAAATCTTAATTGTATTTATGTATATAAATATATAAATATAATTTAA